CGGCTCTAACGACCACGCAGAATTAAAAGGTCGCTAAAAATTATATAAGGACTTTATAACCATTGAGTCACATATAACTTTTATAAATGTAATTCAAATTCACTAGGAGCTAGCATATTGCCCCGGCATTACTTGACTAAAGTCATTTTAGGACTTCAAAATTACACAGTTTTATCTATATCTTGAACAGTCATACATAATTAAAATTCTACAAAACTTATAACAAATAAATCAATTAGTTGACTGCGTTTCATTACAAAAGAAACCTATAACTTGATAACATTATTACCTTTTTAATATTTTACTTAAATAAGGAGGATTTCTATGGTGGCTGATTTATGCAATTCGTAATTTTGCCCTCCAGCCCGCAGAACGAAAAGACGAGAATTAACGAGTTAAAATGGCAGGGGCGCGGGGTGAAAACAAGCTTTTTAGCGGGGGCGCAGGGCCAAGTTTTTAAAAACACGTCAATGAGCCATCGCCTCACGCACCCGCGAATAAGCGTGATTTCGCTCCACGCTTCCGCCGTTTTATTTCCCAGATCTCGCTTTAGCTCATTAGCGTGTTTCCCCCTCCAGTTTAGTATGTTAATTCTCGACTTCTTGCTTGACATGGACGCGGGCGAAAACACGAATGGCACAAATCAGCCACCATAGCTTTCAGAGAAAAATAACGGAAAGTGAAAAACACAAAAGTGAATATGTACTTTATCAAATGTTCTTTAAGTATCGTAAAGGTGAAACTTTTATAAGGGAACTTCCTCTTTAGGTAAAGTTACAAGGAGCTTCTTTAGGCTCAATATCTAGTAGTTACGTTATTTATAAATGATATTTAATTCTTTGGCTTTGATAACTTTTACATCCTTCCCGAAATTGAAATGCCCAAGCTTCTGTATTGTTATATTATTTTTCTTAGTTTCTTGTCAATGAGAGATAACTTGTATCTGCAAAAGACTGCAATTTGTAAACAAAAGATATCCTATAACCTCCCTCATATAATATAACCAACTAAATTTTGATTGTAATATTACAGAAATTATTAAAAAGTTACAACAGGTAACAATTATTGGTACAGTCAGTTAATTTCTAATTGTTCACTTATTATTTAAATTCCTAACTACTAACTACTTATCCAGTGACTTGGACGGAAGAATTTACAAACGTTTATTTGAGTAAAAACAAGCATACGATTATAATGAATGACAAAAATGATAACATAGCGACAATGCCATGTAATCTGTATATTAATTATTTATAAAGATTCTGCATATGACTGTAAAGAAAAACTATTTCTGCATTTTATCATTTTTGGTACCTAGAAATTCCATCAACGGGACATTTCTATGGAACTTCATCCACGGGACATTTCTATGGGACTTCATCCACGGGACATTTCTATGGGACTTCATCCACGGGACATTTCTATAGCTTTAAGCTGATATGGTTTGCTAAATTAAACAAGAAACATGGCAATGCCACGAAACCAGGTTTTCAATTATCTCCATTGTAGATAAATATGTTGTATTTGTAATACAAATGCAAGCAATAAACAATGTAACTATGTGCAATGTAAAACATGAATAATGTAGGAGGAATTGTCACAGAAGAAGTGTTCACTGTATATTCTGTATAAGGAAAAAATGTATTCTGTATAAGGAAAAAAAACAAAGGGCCATAATAAGGTCAAAAATTATCCAATCACAAAACCTCTACAATATGCGCCAGGGCACATGATGACAAAGCTTCTGTGAAAGTTTGAACAAAATCCGTTGAGAAATGTAGGACTAGTTCAGCACAGAGGAATTTGTTCACTATATATTGATAATTCTGTATAAGGAAAAAAAAACAAAGGGGCATAATTAGGTCAAATATTATCCAATCACAAAACCCTGACAATATGCGCCAGGGCACTTGATAACAAAGCTTCTGTGAAAGTTTGAACAAAATCTGTTGAGAAATGTAGGACTAGTTGAGCACAGAAGAATTTGTTCACTATATATTCTGTATAAGGAAAAAAACAAAGGGCCATAATTAGGTCAAATATTATCCAATCACAAAACCCCGAACAATATGTTCCAGGGCACTTTGATAACAAAGCTTCTGTGAAAGTTTGGTCAAAAATCCGTTGAGAAATGTAGGAAGGAGTTTGCGCACAGAAGAAATTATTCACTATATATTCTTTATAAGGAAAAAAAAAACAAAGGGCCATAATTAGGTCAAATATTATCCAATGGCAAACCCGGACAATATGTGCCAGGGCACTTTGATGACAAACTTCTGTAAAAGTTTGGTCAAAATCCGTAGAAAAATATAGGAGGAGTTGCGCACAGAAGAAATTGTTCACTATATATTCTATACAAGAAAAAAACAACAAAGGGCCATAATTAGGTCAAATATTATCCAATCGCCAAAACCCCGACAAAATGTGCCAGGGCACTTGATGACAAAGCTTCTGTGAAAGTTTGGTCAAAATCCGTTGAGAAATGATGGAGGAGTTGCGCACAGAAGAAATTGTTCACTATATATTCTATATAAGAAAAAACAACAAAGGGCCATAATTACATCAAATATTATCCAATCACAAAACCCCGACAATATGTTCCAGGGCACTTGATAACAAAGCTTCTGTGAAAGTTTGGTCAAAATCCGTTGAGAAATGTAGGAGGAGTTGCGCACAGAAGAAATTATTCACTATATATTTCTTATAAGGAAAAAAAACAAAGGGCCATAATTAGGTCAAATATTAGCCAATGGCAAAACCCGGACAAATATGTGCCAGGGCACTTGATGACAAACTTCTGTAAAAAAGTTTGGTCAAAAATCCGTAGAAAAAATATAGGAGATGTTGCGCACAGAAAAAATTGTTCACTATATATTATATATAAGAAAAAAACAACAAAGGGCCATAAATTAGGTCAAATATTATCCAATCGCGAAACCCTGACAATATGTGCCCAGGGCACTTGATGACAAAAGACTTCTGTGAAAGTTTGGTCAAAAAATCCGTTGAGAAATGATGGAGGAGTTGCGCACAGAAGAAAATTGTTCACTATATATTCTATATAGAGAAAAAACAACAAAGGGCCATAATTAGGTCAAATATTATCCAATGGCAAAACCCCGACACAATATGCGCCAGGGCAACTTGATTGACAAAGCTTCTGTGAAAGTTTGGTCAAAATCCTTTGAGAAATGTAGGAGGAGTTGCGCACAGAAGAAATTTGTTAACGCCCGCCCGCACCCGCCGCCCATCGACATACCTCAATCTAATAACCAGTTTTTTCCTTCGGAAAACCTGGTTAAAAATTGTTTTCACATGGTTGTCATTCCTACCAAATGTTAGCCTGGAAAAAAATCTTCTCAAAACTATAGTTGATCTGTAAAGGATACATTGTTAAAATAGAGATAAATATAATCTCTAAAGAACGTCCAAACGTTTAAAAATGTAAAATATCGCTAGAGAGATGAACAGTCCGCTCTTCCATTCTTGCTGAAGCTGGTGTTCATTGGAATAATTACTAGAAGATGCAAGTAACGACCACACCCCCCTAGCACTGGCTTTTAGCAAGGTATAGCCCTTCATATCTGTTTTATACGGCGGTCCACATGAAATCAATTCAATGAAAAGCGGCAAATGGTCCCCAATGAAAACAATGTGGATGCCCTAAAAAGAAAAACAATGGGCAAAACTATAAATAATGCAGTTTCTGAAGGGGAACAGACTGAATTATGACAACAGAACCGAAGCACCCTGCATAAAATCATACTTAAAGCTTATTTAAAAGTTATTTCTAAAGGATATTACGAACAACATATTGGAAATGATAGAAAAACGTCTCTATATCATTTGGAATGAAATATAGCTAATCCACAATTAACCTACATAAATAAGGTCTACAATCATCTGCCATTATTGGTCCCTTGACCAAAAATATAGTTATTTTTGGTCCCAGATTATATGTAATTACAAATCTAACATTGTACATTTTCTCTTACAATTATTATTATATGAAAATAACAACAAAAAGCCACTCATATTATTTTATTTTAAATACTGCTTTGATTCAATCATTAGAACATGATGCATTCGTTTTTCTCATTGGTTCAAATTAAAAAAGCAAAGACAAAAAAGCTGAAGAAGCAAATAAGCTGAAAAAATTTGAAAAAAAAAGAGCAAATAACTCGAAGAATGATATTTTACAAAATCTCCAACACTACACAAAAAGTAGACATCTAAATAACTAGCTGTAGGTACAGTAAATTTAAACCCTTCAGAGATAATCTTAAAATATCTGATGGAAATTAGACATTGTTAATCTTACATATTCAACTTGATCTTATATAAACCGGTCCTTAGGGAGATATGTTATCACTGAAAATGATGATAAACGGGTTAACATTGTGACACTAGGTATGAAGTGTCTTTATTTTGACACAGGTCCAGTGATAATACAAGATAAAACTTGTGGGAAACAATGCAAATATTTTTATTTTAAATTTACACATAAAATTTTTACATGTGAATATAAAATTTACACTTCTCCCAGGTTTTTAAATTGCTTTTATTCCTACATAAATCTAAAATTTTGTTAAGGACCTTCTTTGCAAATAAATACGTATATGACAGTTACAATATAAATGAAAAATATTGAAAACATTGAAAAACTAGAATTAATGTGCTAAATAAAAGTTTTTTATACTAAACTTTAAATGTTTGTGAGAATGAAATATAGAAAGAGATATCATTTAAACGATCATATTATAGCACTATAGTACACCCTGTATGATAGTTTTCAAATACAAATAGTAATATCTGGTGGTAATGATGTGTATATGCTAATATTTTGAATTTTATCTTTATACTAACAAATAAGTCTAGTTCATCGTATCCATTAAGTTGGAAAAGTTACTTATTCAGTACATATTATAGAAAATATGTGTGATTCAAGGTCTTTATAAAAAGTTACTTAAATGTTCTACCATAGTGTTAACAATATAGCATTAGCCATTTTTTTACTTATTTAATATCTTTTATCAACATACACGATTATTTCTTTTGTACAAGGCTATTAATTCTACATGTACAATGTAGCTGCGGCCTTGACTTAGTCTGGTCCCTTTTCAAAATTTGTGCCCTGCTGAAAAACCTAACATCACATTTGATAAAATCTGTATTTATCAAGTTTTGGTATAAAATGTTACTGAAATGTGCCAAGATTATTTATATTTTCAACAAAAAAATCTAAGTATGAACAAATACTGTGTATTGACTTATTTGTTATAAAGCATGAAACAAAATCATTAACAGTACATTATTGCAAAAGCTTTATATAACACTTTGAAAATAAAATATAATGTCCATCTTTATAACAAGGGTCTATTTTTTTGCCGGCTTGGATGGATCCGGTGTGAATCTCAGATACTCTTTCCCCGATGGCAAAGTCTTGGTATCAACACCAGCCGGAAACAAGGTAGCTAACTCCTCCTTTTTAACCGATGGTATTACCATACAATCACCGCCGCTCTGAAAAATAACATCTGACAATTATATTTTGTTCACATTCACAATACGAGTCATGCAAATAAAAATAATGACGTTTAAATTAAATAGGTTAGAGAACAACAATGATCAAGAAAGGATTAAACTTTCAATCACTAGTTAAGAATTTCAATAAATGGAAGTTAGGGAGTCATTTACTCCTTGATCTTGGCTTGTGTGACTTCCATACTAAAATGGTTTTCTTTCTTTTCTCATATAATGTGACTTCAAATGATTGATATTATGAAGTCTCTGACTTCCAAATTTTGAAACTTAATGGCGGCCTAGTTAATACAGGACTCGCTGGCCTTCAATTGAAGCTTAAGAATATTTTTTATCAAAATTTCTATAAGCAACAACTTGTGAACTGATATGATAAATTAAAGTATAAAGTTGCGTAAATATTCTGACATGTTCTTGACAGTTAGGCTGTAAAGTTTATTAATACAGTATCAATTTTGTGGCTTTTCAAAAATGCACATATGTTGATTGACCAAAAGCTTTGCTCCATTTTTGTTTGTTTGCTTTTTTCTTGTTGATATTTTGTTTGTTTTGTTTTTCCCTTGTTTTTTAGGGGGGTGGGGTGGGGGTGGGAGAATGGGTTATGCTACTAAATTTTAATGGTTTTAATATAACTCTTCAGGTGTTTGGTTTAAACATATCTCTATTCAAGGTATATATATATACAAATTGTTAATTTACAATATAAAACAGGAAGGTATTGGACCGAGAGCTACAATAGCTCATGGTAGTCCTCTCCTATAAACTCTTCAGTGTTTTCTAAATCCTTTATTAAAACAATATTAATCACAGGTTAAACCTTTCTACAGCATTTCAAATTATTGATTCTGATAAATAATGTGTGTGTTTTTAATATCAAAATATTTTATAACATTAACACCCACCTGCCAGTTAGCTGGTGTTGCCACCTTCTTGTAGGCTGTCAGCTGGAGAGACTGTACCACACGATAAATCTCACTGTAAATAAATAAACAAACATTTCAAGTATTATTCTCCTAAACTTTCTTCTCATTCCTACCTTTTTTTTTATTTCTGGTGCTGGTGGTGGGGGGTATTGTGCACCAAGAGCTTTCCTTAAGACAGCGCACTAGGCATTACTCAGTTAAATTAGGTAACTCAGAGATATCAGCCCTATGACCTTCATGTTAGATTATCATACGGAAAAAAAAGTGTGTACAGTAACAACTCATACCCTTCAGTAGTTTTTGTAGAAAACTGACTTTCACAAAAATTGCACGTAAAAACTTAACCAATATTGCATATAAAAACTTACCCAAAGTGTGATGCTCAGACACCAAGGCCTTTTTTCTTCAAAGTGTCAAGTTAAAAAAAGCTACACTGTTTTTCTTTTTGTTATTTGTTTAATCACTTAAGTTAGATTTATGAGCACTTAATAGAATGTAACATTTTGTACTATATGGAATTTGGAAATTTGCCTTTCCTGTCCCCATTCTTGTATACATATAATACCAGCATATTTGTTTATAACCAAACACATCCCATTTTTTTAAAATGATTTCAACTTTACCTCTAATGTATAAATATCTAACTCCTACATATTTATTAGTACTACAGTTTATTCTGTAACATGAAGGGGACAATTACACCTGGGTAGTAGTGGAAAGGTGGAAAGGTTAGTTACCTCTCACCTAATAGTATTTGTTTTGTATAATAATAAATTAGACAATTCTGATATCGGGTAATTTAAATTTAAATAACGAAGGGTTGCTTTGAAACATGATCTTCAACATCTTAAAATTAATGTGAAATGATCTTTTGTGACATGATAAAAAGGTCAACCTAGAAACTAGATAGGATTTAGAATGATTAAATGGTAATTGTTTGTTTGTTTGTTTGTTTCATTTTACGCCTTTTCCCAACAGTATTTCAGTCATATAGGCGGATTAAATGGTAACATGGTAGCTTTGACAGTATTGCAAGTTTTGGTTTTCCTTCAACTATATCTTTTTCAAGTTAGTATCTCTATATTAGAATTTTACTGTAGACACTTTTGTGTAACCAAATTGATGTTAATGACCTTCTGACTAGACTAACTACTGAAACTTAGCAGGTAGAAGTCCATGTAAGGTTCTTTATATGTCTTGTCAGTAAGGCCCCCATGGTTACGCGTTTAAACGGATTCGTTTCGATTTTCAGCCGAAAACATTTACAATAATTCTTACCGTTAAATCGAAATGAGCATATTGTCTTACAAAATATCATAATCATTGCCTGTAATCATGAATTCTATCAATTGTAATTGGTTTATTACAAAGTAAAATACGGAAAATAGGTATTTACAATCCTCCACACAGCATTACCGTGCACTAATCGTGACATAATACATTGGTAAAGTTGATTATCCTTTGATGTTTAATGAGGATACAATGCAGAAAATGTGTTCCAGGACTCAGTCGTGATGAGTTCTGAACATTAAATTATTTGTAAATAAAAAGTAAGTCATCATTTGGAGACTTGGTGTAGTATAGTACAAAGAAGTACCACCGTTTAAACGGTTTGATTCGGTTCTTAGCAATCGTGTAAACGTTTACAAAAAATTGTAAACGTGGGAGCCTTACTTGTCAGTAACTTGTAATAACATTATCAGTCAATAAATAAAGACCCCATGTAAATCAGTGAGAATTGTTCATTTGATTGGGTTTTACATCTGTACACCCGCACAGTATTAAAGGCCATATTATGGCGATGTTCCAGCTTTGCTGGTGGAGGAAGACCTCAGGTGATCTTCTGTGCATTATTTCAGGCACAAACAGGCACCTTAGTAGATCCACTGACATTCCGTTAGCTAGCTGAATAGCTTGAATTCAAAGTCCCTGCCTTGATTCAAACCCACAGCTGTAAGGGGCATGTGTTTTGAAGTCAACACCTTTTGCATTATATTGTTTATATTTTTACATTTAGAAAAATAAAAAGTCCTTGCTTTTAAAAACCCTTGAAAATGTACTTTGTGAAAAAAACCACAAAATTTCATGCCCACGAAGTTAAGTGAGTTCACAGAAAAGTCTGATCAGACTTGAATACCTGGCTCTATACTGCTGACAAAGGCTTCAAAGTAACAAACATTATGCTTTATTTAAAGAACCTATTAATTTTTCTATTTCTGACTCTGGTGGCCAATTCGTTTAACAAAAGTAACATATAACTAAAACTTGGGGTACATAAGGCAGCGAAATTGAACAGAAGCATTTCAAAAAGCAAAAACAACTCTTTATATTTTGATAATTAAAAAGCATATTATAATTACTGAACTTATTTGTTCTGACAACTTCAAAAACTGAAATTATAATTATACAATTTCGAAAAATATTATCTTTCAATTACAATCATATTAAAAGAAATCTATCCATGAATGAAGAATTTTTAATCATACAAATACCAAAATTAATATAACCAGAAATATTACATTCTTTTCATAATCTTTTACACAAATTAAATGTTATTACAAATTGATAAAATCTCTAAGATAAACAATCTGTATGCTACACAATGAAGCTTGCATTCCTTACAACAAAAGATTAAAACAGTTGATTTACATTGTACTATAATATCAAAGATTTCAAAAAGTATAATTGAATTTTTTTTTACCATTCTGATTCAGCAATGATTTCTTGCATGTATAATAATTGGCTCTTATCGAAAAAGAAATTCAAACCTATTTCCTGCTTACAGGTATTTTGGATTTTTTCTTTGTCAAAAATGAAACAATTAAATTTTAAACTATAAACAGGAGATACATTTGTATATCTTTATACACTTTAACATTAAGACAGCAGGAAGCAACTATAAGGATACCTGTGCTACTGATATAAACAATTTACATAATATAGAAACATTGCTTTTGTAGGAAGATAAAAGCCATATAGTTATTTTCATAAATTATACTGATGGAGAAGGGCCTCTTTGTGTTATTAAAGAAACTTAATTACATGTACAAAATGTATATCTAAATGGTAGTACAGTTCTGATGCCAAGCTAAATTATTCACCCAAAGAAGTCGCAAAGAAAGATCAGTCATATACTACCCAAACAAAGGTAAGGTAGCAGTAATTTCAATTTAAAAACAGCAAAGTAATGCAGAAGAAAACATAGAAGAAATATGGGGAAAATTAATGCAAAATCAGTCATTTATCATACTCATTATGAAAATTATTACTTTTATCTTAAATCTTTTTACTTTTCTTAAGAATCTTGGTACATTTTTCTAAATTTTAATTTCCTTGAAATATTTTGGCTCATCTGGAGGCATGCAGCTTTTACTATGGATTGTTTGTTTGTTTGTTTGGGTTTTACGTCACATCGACACAGTATAGGTCATACACATCAACACAGTATAGGTCATATCGCGATGTTCCAGCTTTACTTGTGGAGGAAGACCTCAGATGCCCTTCCGTGCATTATTTAAGGCACAAGCGGGCACGTCAGTAGAACCACCGACGTTCCGTAAGCTAGCTGGATAGCTTCCTCACTTGAAAGAATCCAAAGTCCCTGTCACGATTCGAACCCACAGTGGTGAGGGGCAAGTGGTTTTAAGTCAACGACCTTAACCACTTGGCCACGGACGCTCCAACTATGGATTGAACAATCAGGAAATTCTCGCTATAATAGTAAACTGAACTTACTCGAAATTTCTTCCAGTGGTAGCTGGGTATAACATGGACAACTTCAGTTTATAGTCTGGACCAACGATAAAAACCTGAAATAGAAATATCAAATATGATTAAAAAATTAACCCATAACTGCTGAATTTCTTAATTAAATTAACTTGGCCTCCATATCAAGAACTTTAAATTCAAAACTTTAAGGATATCAAGATACAGTGTAACTTCTGAAAACCGAACACCCATGGGACTTGTCAAAAAGTTCGGATTTCAGAGGTTTCCGGAATTCAGAGGTTTATGATAATGTGGACAAGACTAAGCCACTAAATGTCAAGGAAAATGTGGCCATTACTGTAATATCATATATAATAGTCTTTTAATCAAGATAAAGATGTGAAGGAAAATAAAACATTGATATTTAACACTTTATTTAACTTACAAATTGTCCGATGCTAGTTAATTAATTAGTACATCAAATGCAATAAAATCCCTAAAGATGTTTGATGCACACATTGTTCCAATTAAATGTCATTTAATCTGCCAATAAACACTTCAAATTAACTGACCGCCGTAAATAACTTTACTTCAAACATACCATTTCACAGTTTGTGATTTTAACGCGTGTCAAATTACACGATCACCTCTAATTAGTAAACAATCGACAGGGAGATTGAATCTTCCTGCAGGGTAAACATTCTCAATTTACGATGTATTTCACACCTTTAGATATTTCCGGATTTTGGAGGTAAAATTGCATTGATTTGGCTCTAATTTTAGGAAAATATCGTCCGGAATTCAGAATTTAGAAGTTCCGGAATTCAGAAGTATTATATTAATAGAAAAAAGAAGGGAAAAAATCGGGACCGAAAAAATTGTTCGGTTTTTAGAAGTTTCCGGATTTCAGAAGTTCCGGAATTCGGAAGTTACACTGTATATAGATAAATTTGAGCCGCGTCACGACAAAACCCAACATAATGCGTTTGCGACCAGCATGGATCCAGACCGTCCTGCGCATTCGTGCAGTCTGATCAGGATCCATGCTGTTCCCTTACAAACCCTATTACAAGTAGAGAAACTGATAGCGTACAGCATGGATCCTGATCAGACTGCGCGGATGCTCAGGCTGGTCTGGATCCATACTGGTCGCAAACCCATTATGTTGGTTTTGTCGTGACACAGCTCATTTGAAGTTGGTTTAGCCAACTGTATAGAGGATGGGTTCAGACTTGACTGGCTTTATTCTAGTGGCAAATGCTCATCATTTTTTGTTCCAGCAAGTTTAAAATATTTATTTGTCATCCCCACTACATAGGATTCTACAGTGTCTACTTAAACAAGGCCGACATTCCACAAATTACGCCCGCCACAAAAGTTTAAGGTAGAGATGTGATCGTTAAAAAGTTGCAAGCACTATACATATTTACTGGTTTGATCAGAAACTTTACCGATCTATGTATGACTTTGGCCTCAGGGACCTAAACTTAAAGAACAACACTCAGCCTCACAAAGGTGAACATTTATGCAAAAGTATATTGAAATCCCTCTGTGCATGTAAAATATTGTATGCTTGCACACTACCTGTAGGTACTAATACTGATTGTAAAATTGACATACTATTATCATCAGAAGAGTAAATATTTCAAATACTTACAGCCCTGCAGGTGAGTGGAAGTCCCTTTGAGTCCTTCTCCACTGGGTCTAACATGCCAAACTGTACAGCAAGGTCACGTTTTGGGTCAGCAATGATGGGGAAATCAAATTTTGCATCTTTAGTAAAGGCTAAAATGTCCTGAAGGAAAAGTAAAAGACTATTATTTTAACATCTTCAGAATAAATATCTTACATAATATTTACAAACATGCAGACCAGCAATCATGTGACATGTGTATAAATTGTATCCTCAAGAGCTTGAACAAGTAACAGACATACAGGTACATTATGAATTTCCAGCTGCATTGCTAGATTGAGACCTCATGTCATAATTATGTGCATTATTGCAATCATTAACAAGCATCTAGGCAGAATCACCGACCTTCCAGTCTAGCTAAATAACAATATTCAGTGATTTTTCCCCCTATATACTTACAGTGGAATTAATGCTCCCCTATAGCCCAAAATAGGTATATTTTCCTCTGAAATGCCTGTAAAATCACTTGTATTTCACTGGTATAATAATATTATACATGTAAACAGTTGTCTTAATATTAAAAACTACTATCACTGATTTTCTACCAGTAACAGAAACATTTAAATACATAAATCAATGGCTTTTAACACATTTTTTTTTGTTACAAAATTTTCACACAATGTTATTTTTAATTCATATTTGAACTTGTAAATCTAAGATCTGTTGACCTATTGCATTACCTACCGAAGTAGTCACTAGCAAGCCTTTGATGTTTATACACCGAAATTTGCTTCAAACCTTCATTAAATACTTCTATTGACTATGTACAGTAATCCTTACATTGCCAATTTTTTTATCAACTTTGCATTTCCCTAACCCTTATACAAATCCAGAGGAGATTTTCAGGGGGAGAAATGGAGGGAGGACAGGGAAGGGTAAATGGGGACATTAGATTTGGTTATCTTATCATAAAATATCAATTCAGGGTCATTGATATTAACTTACATTTTTAAGGTGGAAACCAAGGAAAAATTTGACTCATTTGATCCCCAACTGAACAACTAGTAGTAAATGTCAAACCCCCTCTAGAAAATGCAATACCCCATGTCAAAGTTTTGTAACCCCCTCTTTTAATAAATCTGCATCTGATTAACATGCTGAACATTGGCTACTCTGAATTGAAACAGTCAAAATAGTAATCTGAGAATTGCTGACCACATGGGCCCCCGTTAGTGGCAAGCTTTTGTTTCATTAAGCAAGAAATTTACCATTCATTGCTTAATACTGGTAGGTTCCAGGAATGAATTATCCATGAGTGTTTCAATAAGCTTATAGCTTCAAACACAACCTAACAAAAATTGAATTTGTATAAAGTAAACAGTCCATTCAATGCTAAAATGAATGGATTTTTCAACAAACCATTTATTTACCTATAGTTTAAGCTTGGTCAAATAGTTTTTTTAACATTGGTTTTACATTGCACAGTATAGGTTGAATGGAGACATTCCAGCTTTACTGGTGGAAAAAGACCTCAGGTACCCTTCGGCGCAATATTTCTGACACAACTTTGTGGAATGGGCACCCCAAGTAGAACCATCAACATTCAATAAGCTAGCGGGATAGCTTCCTCACGTGAATTTAGAATCTGAGGTTCCTCTTGTGACTCAAACCTACAGCAATGAGTAGCAAGTGGTATGCATTGATATGCAGGCTGAGCTAGCTCTATACTGGTGGCAAAGGTTTGTCATTTTTGGTTCAGGCAGGTTATTTAAACTAAAGGCCTAACAAAGAATTGAACTTAACTTACCTCTGTCCATTTAGAGTGACTATCAACATCATCACATGACAATGCAATCAGCTTGACATTCAATGCCTTGAATTTCTCCACCATTTTGTTGACCATACCCAGCTCTGTTGTACATACTGGTGTGAAATCAGCCGGGTGTGAGAACAAGATCGCCCATCTGTTAAATACATCAATAGTTAAAATACAAGATCACCCATTTGTTAAATACATCAATAGTTAACAATACAATCTCAGGATATGAAGAAAAAACATATGTTCTTTATGATACACTTTCATTTGGTAGGAGAGGAAATACCAGGTAGCATTTAAAGCAAAGTATTTTTGACACTCATTTTATATGGGGGCACAAGAGATGCAAGAGCTTATATAGCATTATAAATCTACATCTGTGTATCTGACATTTTGGAAAATTAATCACATATGAAAAAAACATCTCCTATAGTAGAGAATTACAATGTGTTCTTTTTTATTTATGATAATGTTGAATATGCTTTTTATTTATGATATGTTATATATACAATATCACATTGATGAGACTATAATAAATAATACAATATGAAAAACTGTAATAATTGTATTCTTTTAAGATATAATCATGCATTTTGTTATGTAATAATGTAATTTTTTAATTAAATAATAACAATGGGATCACTGTGATGTGCATAATATTTGAGCTAGAAGAGTGTCAGCACAAAAAAAACATTGGATAACTTTATCCCAAAGTCATTCTTTTATTGCGGCGGCACTTGTGAAAGTTAGTTTATAACTGTAGTTTTCCAAAAAAAAATTTTTTTAAAAATGCTTACATTTCTAATCTATTGCACTTTGTATAGTATTAAATACAAAGTAAATCTTTACAATGATGTTTTAAATTACAAGTATTTCAACCTTTCATACAATTTAGAAAAAAGAAAGCAGCTGCTCAATCATATACACTGATGACCTAACTTGTAAACTTTTATATCTTATTACATAAAATTTATGTAAAATACAATAAAAGCTCAAGCCCCTCCATAAAATGATACTCCATTTTGACTCAAGTATCAACTAAAGTTTCAATTTGATTACTGACCCAGTAAAATTTTTCTTTACTTTAAAGCCACAGGTTATAAATTACTGAAATAGAAACTTTATAAAAACCCGAAATGCCTGAAATGAAAGCTATTAATGGACAGAATGATGGAAATGACGATGAGGCCTACAATCAAATATTGTCTGCTATCCCTACCACTACTTTACCTACTTTAATCACTGCTACCTATAAAACCAAACCAAAACTAGAACTATCACTAAATGTGATTAATACTCCCACAAGACTGCTTCAGAAATGAGGATGTTACTTAAGTAACAGAATACCTTGTAAAAGAATTGAAATATAGAGTTATGGTTGTGGGCAATTAAAGATAGTTGTGGTTCTTGTATGTTGCATTTCCTTTCAATGTGGTTGGCCATTGAAGAAGTTTTATTGAATTACTCTGTGATAAGTCAAGAAAGACAAGGAAAAGGAACAAAGGGCAATCACTCTAATACTGAAGATGGAGTTATAGTTTTTGTGCTCTGCACTTCCTCTTATTGTGCTTGACCATTGTATGAAGTTGTTTTGAATTCCAACCAGTATGTTTTAAGTTATGCTCTGGACAAGGAAAAGTATCAAAGGACAGTAACTCTGTATTTTGTCAAAATGGAAATATGGCTCTTGTGCACTGCACTTCCTTTTAATGTCCTTGACAACTGTATGAAGTTGTATTGAATTCCAAACAGTAGTTTTCAAGTTATGCCCCGGACAAGGAAAAGTAACAAAGGGCAATAACTCTGTAATTAGTCAAGATGGAGTTATGGTTCTTGTGCACTGCACTTCCTCTCAATGTGCTTGACCATTGTATGAAGTTATATTGAATTCCAACCATTACTCTTCAAGTTATACTCTGGACAAAAAAAAGCAATGGAAAAGTAACAAAGGGAAATAACTCTGTAATAAGTCAAATTGGAGTTATGGTTCTTGTGCACTGCAATTTCCCTTATTGTGCTTGACCATTGTATGAAGTTGTTTTGAATTCCAACCAGTAGTTTTCATGTCATGCTCTGGACAAGGAAAGGTAACAAAGGGCAGTAACTCTGTAATAAGTCAAGATGGAGTTATGGTTCTTGTGCACTGCACTTCCTCTCAATTTGCTTAACCATTGTATGAAGATATAATGAATTCCAACAATTAGTCTTCAAGTTATGGTCCGAACAAAAGAAAGCAATGGAAAAGTAACAAAGGGCAATAACTCTGTAATTACTTTAGATAGAGTTATGGTTCTTGTGCACTGCACTTCCCCTTATTGTGTTTGACAATTGTATGAAGTTGTTTTTAATTCCAACCAATAGTTTTCAAGTTATGCCCCGGACAAGGAAAAGTAACAAAGGGCAATAACTCTGTAATTAGTCAAGATAGAGTTATGGTTCTTGTGCACTGCACTTCCTCTCAATGTGCTTGACCATTGTATGTAGTTATATTGAACTCCAACCATTAGTCTTCAAGTTATGCTCCGGACAAGGAAAATGCAACAGACATCTGGACCGACTGACTACCGGGTGACTCCTATATACCCCCCCCCCCCCCCCCAACTTCGTTTTTAGGGGTATAATTATTGTTTTAAACATCCTTAAGAAGATACTTTAAATTTGTTAAAATTTCTCCTATTCTGTTCATAACAGGGCAGCATTATTTTATGGTCATAAGAATAATAAATTTGGTTGAATGCATCAATAGGAAACCTCAGAAATTTAGTCTGTGTCTGAAGACAAGTACACATATCAGACGACATCTTAAGCTGCTTGATTAAAATTATCATCATCAGAACATTGTTCTTTTATTAAGGCTCCACTAATAAAGTAAAGAAAAATTGACCTATCCTAATCAACTTTTTTCTTGTCCTACCCGAACTTTCACTTACAAGCAGTGGATGTGTGGACACCAGCAGGAAAATAATTGGTCCGTGAGAAACTTTTTGGAAACTTAAACAGGGCTTATAAAATACAAAAGCCCTAACGTTCACTTTCTGGAAACTTTAATGGACACACAAAATGACAACTTATAAAAAAAAAACAGCATTCCTGGGGAATAGTGGAACCTTTTACAATATTTTGTTACTTTATTTCATTAAACAAGACAAAAATCAATTATGACCTTCAGCTTAGTTAAGGCATACTAAAACCCCTTGACACTTATTCCATGTGTTGATTTTAAGTTATGTCAACTAATCGCTTAAATGATTATTGAAAAATGTAATATTATTCAAAAATACGTAATACATGAACAGTGACTCATAGCTTCCTGCATTATACAATAAGCCGAATTTAACAGATATTCATTATTTATATAGACTGAACAATACATAAGTCATTCAAGCACAGGATTTAACACAATGTAAATCATGAAATATGTATACCAGAAACCTTACCTAACTGATAAATCAAAAAGGTTTGTAATACAAAACCATCATAGACTGAAAAGTTAGACTGTACAGTTGAGAATACATTATAACCAGCTCAGTCCTGGCTTTTTTTGTAATCAGTTGATATGGAGTTTCTTGTGTTTTTTTATAATCCTGAAAACAACCTGTGGCGGTCTGAAGAGAAAATATAGTGCCTTAATATTCAGAAAAGGAGGAAAAGCTGAAAAGTTGAAAAAACAAATTCCAACAACTAAGAATGGAATTTTACCCACTAATTTTATAACATTTTCAATTTCAATTAATTTAACATGCATGGTACATAGCAGAGGCCCTCTTCTATCTTTTAGTCTAATAAATTCAACTAGCTGATATGATAATGACTTGTGCACACCCACAGGGCATTTCAGGGGGAAATATAGGATTTTTTAAAGGAAAAAAAAACTTTTTGGGGCTGAAAAATACAGGGACAAATCAATGTTATGAAAGCTTACACCCTGCATAGGCTAGCGAATTTTTGCCTGGATAAATAATAATGAATTTCTCTGGTACTGACCTGAGCTTATATTTACCTGAATTTTGCGGATATCAGGTCAAGTCAACCAACAGTAAATAATACAACCTCCTAGAGCCTGGTCAGAACCTTGCCCTGAGGCCAGGCTCAATCAACACTGGTAGGATTACATACATGTACATGTGACAGTAGAAAAATAATTAATAAATTGATTAGCACAGCTGCACTGTGAAAATCACATACCCCTATTTTCATTCTTTAAATTTTTAGTAATAAACCAGCCTGGGACATATCATTTTGTGGTAATTCACCTGTAAACCTTGTAAATTTATGATCTACAAAAAAACATTATGAATTACAAATAAAAATATCTTACACTATAAAAGTCTGAAGACGAAGTTAACAATCATTTCATGAAGAAATTGCTAAAGGCTATGTAACTATCAATGAAACTTAATATATTATGAAAAAAATAACAAGAAAGAACACGTCATTAATTTAAACCTTCATCAATCAATGTTGATTTTTATACTATTATTGTAACTTTTTCAAAACCATATTTTACATGTACATTTACCTACATCTTAATTATAATTAATCAAGTAAATAAAATTAATGTTCTTTCAATTAATCAGTATCTGTTCTTTTCAAACTGGATTACAGAACATTTCAAATCAAGTTTAAACCATATCATCTCCCCATCTATTTATAGTCCAAAATTTCAATCTGATTGATATATATAACACAGAACAATACCTGCAAACTGATTTCTGACCTTGTCCATTTACGGCCTTCTACCTGATAACAGATATAATGTATAGATATAGGGTGATAATGTGGTACTTACACAGGGGTTTTTCCTAATTTCTGACCCTAACTACTCCTGGGGATATAAATATCTTAATAGTGTCTGCAAAATCAATTGCGATTTATTTGCACAGGCTATCCCACTGCCTGCAGTGATGGGGTCCGTACTCTCAGTGTCTGAAAGGGCAGATGGACCCTTAAGTCCCTTATTAAGCTTAGAACAGACACACACACTGATTGTAGTGGACAAACGAAATTTTTCTATGATACAAACATATAAATGAAATGCATAAGTCAAATTGATCAGTCAGAAGTCAGAAAAGCATTTTGCCAGCATAAATCTTGCTAAAATATTTAAAAGTTTTAACAGCTATAATTTCTAATTTTAACAGTTACTGT